GCGGGAATTAGTGTTAGCGGATCAGCAAGTTGCTGGCCGAACAAACGGGGCAACTGGTTAGGCTGATATCTCGTAGTGGGTTGTACACTCCTAGGTGTATCAGAGGGAGGACTACCGGAAGGAGGTCTATGCGGGGCAAGTCTTCCACCGGATGGCAGCTCCTCCTGAGTGTTGGCGCCTGAAGCAGCTGTTGATGCCCACCACGAGTTGTCTAGCACTGGAGGTGCGGCTGCCGATGAGGCAGCCTGCGAGGCCCACGCTGTATCGTGAGGCACTGATGGCACATTAGCGGGCTTACCATACGGGTATGGGTAAGGATTAGGTGGCTTCCTCTTAGGAGTTACTGGTCTCGGCGGAGCTGCTACTGGATGTCGACTTGGATCCCGTTCCCAAGAAGCTGATCGTCCGGTTAGCGAACCTGGCGGGGTCTTGTAGGGAAGCCCCGATGCAGAATGTTGGCTAGGTGGTCGATCAGGGGTCTTACGTCTTGGGGATTGTTTAAGGGATCTTGGAGTCGATGGCTTGCCTTGGTCGTCGTCACCATCCCCAGGTGGGTTTGGATCAGACGGGGCAGCGGCCGTGAGTCCCGCGCCAACTGGTACTCGATTCCCAGCCGGCAGCGGCTTGCCCGTGTTGTCAGTCTCCACGTGCACCGGTCTCTTACGCTCTTCGAACGCCTCGTAAGCTCGCCGTTTGGCCTCGGCAGACAGCTGTCTAGCCTCGGGCGGCGGTGGCTTAACCTTAGTAGGAGGTGACCTAGAACGAACAGGGCGCGCCTTCGAGGGCGGCTTTGGTGCTTGTGGTGTTGCGGACGACGAATGGACTGGCACCACAGACGGCGGTGCACTGCGAGATCTCGCCATCTTGACAACAGGGGACTTGGCAATCGGGGGCGCAATAGGTGCTTGGGTCAACGGTGGCGCATTCCGCGCCGAAGGCGGCGGCTGTGGCGATACCGCTGGAACAAACACTGGGTCAACTACCAAAGAGAGCTGAGGCTCAATAATGGGCACTCTAGGTCTGGCAGCAGTTGAGGCACCCTTAGATTTACCAACTTTAGGGACTACAATTACTTGTCGGACATGAGGGGGCGTTATTGGGGGCGTCCCCTTTAGTCGGCGCTCACGAGAACGCGGACGCGTTTGGATGCAGGTTCGACAAGACTGGGTTTAGAATGACTAGATTGGCTAGTCTTAGGACGCTCACCTTCGAGCCAAGTGAGCCAGCCGGCGTCCTCAGTTCGACCCTCAAGGTTACGAATGCGGCGAGAGCGGGCTTCAGGTTCGGAATTGTCCGAATCTTCGGCATCTAGCTCATACACGTCTGCATCCGGATCAACCTGGATGGTAGCGGATGAGGGGAGCAGGTGGTCTCCTTCGGCTTGTGGAGTGCTAGACCAGTCGAGGTCGTACACACGGTCTCGTGCCTCTTCAAGCGGCACCGACGGCTCATGCTCACGGTCCCACTGGGTCCTGCGCAAGCGAAAGGATGTCAAGTGTCGATGAAGGAACGCACCAGGACCTGGGGTCATAACGACCGGGCGAACTGGTTCCGCGCCGGAGGCAGCGGCTTTTGCACTCGTTGTCGGTTGGTCCTGATCTGACTTGGGCGCCTCAGGAGAGGCAGCCCCTTGCTCTTCGGTTTCTTCCTCCTCCACAGTCAAGTCAAGACGGTCAGCATCAGGCTTAGGCGGGCTCACTGCAGAGGCAGATGGGACAGTATAAGGTGGACAGGCATCGGATGCAAGACCTTGTGGAGGTAATGGCGCTGGACCTTTCGGTGGAGAGGGAAGACGAAGAGGTAACGAAGGCTTGGGCACTTCGACAAACGCACTCCCAGCTTTCATCTGTACAGGTCCGGCACTTGTAGGGTCAACCGGTGGTACCTTAGGGGGCGGACTATGGGGTACAGATTCACTGGTAGGCATCGAAGTGTCCGCGCCAGAGGCTGCGGCTTGCTTGGACTTTGGGCCAGCGGCCTCTGACTTCGGCTTGGCTGACTTGACCTTGGCTTCAACTTCGGCACGAGGCTTGAGCACAACCGGGGTTTGGCCACGATCAAGTGTGGGACGCCAACCCCCTGCAGCGGAGGATGCACCGGTCGTCGCTTGAGCGGCTGCAGAGGCCTTAGGTGCGGCGGACCGAGATCGATCGGTGCGAGGGGGAGCGGCAGAGGATGAGGCTTTGGAGCCCGAGTCGGACACTGTCCTTGGTGGAGCAACCTTGGTTTCGGCCGAACGCATGGCGAAGAGGCACGAAGGGATGGTCCGAAGTCCAGTATCCTTTGGGTAGCCTATACTTAGGTTGTGGCATACCTTGCAACAGAGTGGGATTGATGGAGTAAAGGAACTGCCAAAGCTCAGGTAGAATGGTAGCCCATTGAAGAATGGTATCTACTGGCAACAGCTCCCCGTCCGTGTTGAATGCCCACCTGTCGGAGTGTCGAAGGACGTACCCGAACCACTCCGGGTATTGCTTGCGAGCCACCTGCGGTGGGATGTGTGGGAGATGGAAACGGCGGCCGAACCGTGCATAGGTCGAGTCACCTAGCTGAGCGCTGATGTACTCGCACGTTGTCCCATAGGCGAGGTTTTCTCTCCCGGCAACGTGCTTCGCTCCGGCCCTGCGCCCTCTCCTGCGGGCGCGGTCCCTCTCTCCCTGTCCCGCGCTTGAAGCAGCGGCTTCACCACCCTCACTCTCCGGCTGCGGTCCTCCAATCTCGACGTTTGCAAGCTCCGGCTGAACGCCAGCCTCGGCTGCAGTGGCTTCCAGGGCAGCCTCGAGGTCGTACTGCTCCTGGATCCGTCGAGCAATCTCTTCGTTCTCCTCGTCTTCGACGGTTGACTCTTCGTCGTCTCCAAGGGGATCGAAATTATTACTAGTGGGGACAGGCGGACTATGTGGGGTCGACGAAGCCTGCGCAATTAAGCGTTCAGGTGGGACGGCTCGTCCAGCGTAGGGACCGGCTGGTCTTGGTCTACGAGGTTGAGGGAATTCGAATCCTCCATCAAGGCTTGAATGCTTGGGTCGATGGGGCCTGCAGCAATGGGTTGATCTCCTAACGAATGCTCGGGGTCTTGCTTGACTTGGTCCGAGATGTTTGGAGAGGTCTCAACCACAGGGTCGACGGGTGCCGCGCCTAGAGCAGCGGCACCCTCGCCTGGTGTGTCTTGTCCGTCCCACTCGACGTCCGGACCGGCAAAGGGCTCCTCTGGTTCGACTTCGCGGTCGTCGGCCTCAATCTCGGAGAACGGGAACAAAGTTGGACCCGAACCTGCTGAGGATGCAGCACTACCACGTCTCGAACTATCGCTGCCCGCGCCTGCGGCAGCGGCTGGGGGGTCCAACGGCTCTACGAACAGTTCGAGGGCACTGGCGCCCTGTTCGCCTAGATGGACGAGCGATGTCACCTCCAGCTCCGGCTCACCTATACTTACGCCTAACGAATCCGCGCTTGGAGCAGCGGCTTGCGTTTGGGCAGCTGCTGGCTCGGATCTTTGGTCAGGCGTTGGGGTAACACTTGGCCCTAACGACGAATCCGCGCCGGAGGCTGCGGCTTGCGCCGGCTCCGAGCGGGGAGATCTAGGGGGTGTTACTCTAGGCATTGAGTCTATTAGGGGCGGACTATTAGAGCTCGTAGGTTGGTTAGACCTACGGCTGATAACCAGTGAAAGTGACAAGGGTTCAGGTATATCAGCAGGAAACAGCCACCACAATCTACGGAGTGGGAGGTGTTCAGAGAGATAACCAATTGTATCAAGAACCCTAGCACGGGATGGGACACGACGAGGGACCCCGGAGGGCTTGGTCCCCGTGGTGTAAAAGGGGTGTGTGGCCTAAGGAGGGAGCGCCTACGGCAACCGACCCGAAACCAAACACAACCCGAAAGCAACGAATGCGCGAAAGTGCAACGGGGCGACGATCGAACGACCGGCGTCCACGAGTGCTGAAAACAAGCACTGGCGCGCTTGTTTCTTGAGCCATAATGTGTCGGTGTGACACGCGTTTGGTTTGACATGTCTGTACAAATCCCTCAACACAGCGTGGCAAGTTAGGGGTCCCCTTTGTGTGGAAAACTTTGACTATAAAGTGACCTAGAGCTCTTTATCTTATTGCTAAGAGAATACGGGGATGTAGAGCGTTATGGTAGATACGGAAAGAGGCAATGTTAAAAAGTCTGACATACTGTAAACGAGCTATTGGATGCATTCTACCAAGTAGAAGGCCACATGTCGGATGTGCAAAACGTGAGAAGGTCGCCGAAACTGAGCTGCGGTCACCGACTGCCGATGTTGCAGTTGTGCCGAAGCTGCTGTTGGAAAAAGAAAGGTGGGATGAGGGGGATTGCCAGAGTGTTAAGATGCCGTTGAAAAACGATGATTGCGATGCCACCGTGACCACCATGTTGAATGTTGTCGAAAATCTACGGTTGTGATGCCAAAGCGTGAAGCTGTTGTTCAATATCTGTGATTGTGATCCTACGGTTAGGCGAGGCCTCGGTGGAAATTTGCATGACTCCATGCCGCTGGTGAGTGGAATCGTTGGTGATGCCAACAGCGCTTGGTGCCGCTGCATCAGGTTTATTGTGGTGGAAGGTATGGTGAGGCCTGGGTGGACAGTGTGTTTTGCGTGTTTCGGTGCCGTTAGGGAACTGGAAGAATACGTGTGTAAATTGCACGTGTCTGCCGGCCTGGGTGCTTCTGCCCCTTTCTTGCAACTTTGCTTTCTTAATGGTTCCTTCCTTCCGTCCTGCTTCCTTGCATGCTTCCACGCTTACCTGGCTGGAAAGAAATGATAGGAAACAAAAGGAAAACAAGCAAAGAAGCAAAAAAGCAGAAAACGTGGAGAAGCGCAAAAGCAGAAAGCAGAGCTGAAAAAAGAACAGAAAGCAGAAGGACAGCAAACAAGCAGAAAAATGAACCATAAATTTATACAATTCCCGATGGCCTACTGACTTAGAAAGGCACAGGCCACTGTGCTTGTGATTCAGGCCCAAAGCACCATCCGAGACTTCGTTGATCCTCCACTGCATATCCACCTGTGTAAGGTGAATCCGGTAACAAGTGGTGCAACTGCTCCTTCCTTGTGAGATCAGCTCACCCAGGACAATTCAAACAGCTGGAGGCAGCTGCAGCTGCTATACATTTATTGTTGTCTAATTATCAGGCCCAACGGCTGGAGGCCCTGCATCAGCTGGAGAACTGAAGGTGCGTCAAACAGCATCACAGCTGGCAGACCTGCCCTAGCAATAGCAACAAGAACATGCAGAATCCTAGCTTTGAACTCAGGTGTTCCAATTGTCAGTTAGATCATGTGCTGTGCTGTAGGCTCCCCGACACTTAGGCCCCACCACCTTGCCTGCAAGACATGCGCCAAGTGTTGGCAACGCGCAGTCTGCGCAACATCTCCAAGAAGTGCTCCAATGGAAAGGTTCCTCAGATTCCAAGAGCATCAAATGCAAGTGCTCTCATGAAGAGAAGGTTGCAAAGAGGATTGCACTCGACTGGTCCGTTTGTGGACCAAGCTGTTTAGACGATGATGGGAAGGTTCCAAACTTGCTCCACGGCAGGCCTTCAAGAAGAACAGAAAGGAAAGTCTTGGGCTGGCGAGAACACTGCCATACACAGGAATGCTGCAGAAAATTGATTTGCCGTTTCTTTTGATTAAGCACGTGTGGCATTGTTTCTCCAGAAAGCTTTCCATTCTCTTTATCAAGGCATCGAATCATGCTTCTGTGCTTGATAAGCAGCAAAAAACGGCTGCGGCTAGTATGCTGAATCAAGTCGCATAAAAAACGTTGTCCGCCACCAATCACCACCTCGACAAGTGCAGTGCAATTAGTGTCCTTCTCTGGCTCGACGGGGCTCAGAAATATTGCAGACAAAATGCAATACATGATGTGCTGTGACACTCCAGGATCGTTAAAGCAATCCTTCCTCATGACGGTTGCATGACCTCTTGGGATCATGCGTTTTCCACCTAGGCCAAATGCAGAAATTACTCATTTCCAAAGAACAGCTCTCAAGCAAAAAAACAACTGTTCGTTGACAGGCTTGTGACGGCTAGTTGGGAGCCATATTAAAGTCATGCCCGCTGCCAAAGAACCCAAGATCGATAGCAAGGTGGACTTTCCAGCTCCATTCGCCCCGACCACCAGAATGCGTGCACCGCGGCTAAAGTGGAAGGACACGTTCTGCAGTTGAGGTGTGCCGCCAGCCTGGTCACTGGAGTTTTGAAACCAACTGACCAAACACACCAAGTGAATGAAGCTGAGCATAGCTGAGCAGCATAACTATAGGTGAGGTTCTTACTTTCCAGGACGGGCCCGTCGACTGCTTCCACAGGTGGACCAGTCGAGGATGCATCCTCATGATATAAATTAACATTGAAACGGTCACAACATGTCACAACAACATCAACATGCCACTGGTTTAGGCCGCTTGAACCTAATCGAACTCACAAAGCATCAGCTCCATTCGACGATCGCGCCAATTTTCGTCTATACACTTCAAAATCAAGTCCGCACTGTGCTTTCTGTGTTGCTGGGTCCTGCTGCACAGCTCCAGTTTCGCCATAACTCTGTACAATCCATTGCTTCATCAAGGTGTACAAGGGACAACGGGTATTCTTGGCCAGCTGGTGGTACTCATGCAAGTCCTGATCAGCGTAGGTGAAACAAGGTCAGGAAAGAGATTCATAACTTATGGTGTGTTGCTACTCTCTGACCATTCTTTGGTCAAGGCACAGATATCCGGCAGCATCGTTGCACCTTTCCAGCTGAGAAAAAGAGCAGGTGCGTGGCCCACTCAGCCAGGTGATCAAAAATGTGGGTCGCGTAGAAAATTGTCCTTAGAGTCCCGACAAAGAGATGGCAAATCCCTTACCTTCTGGTATTTATGCTCTTAAAGTGTTGCAATCTTGAATCAACTGACCATAACAATACAGTGTATATATATAATTATTGCGAACGGATGGAAAGTGTGCCCTGGCCCCGTTCTAGCCCTTAGTTCAACATGAAGCACGCGCCCTAAAGCTCCTTTTTACCTGGTTGGGCACTTGAGCCAAAAGTATATGGCATGTACCTGTATAGCAACTATACTGGGACCTCATCCCTATTGACACCCCCCACATCCGTGCTTCGACGGGGAAGGGAGATGAGTGGATGTAAAAACCGGAGAACGAATCATGTTCTCAAAAGTGCATTGGAGGTCAACCAGTATGTCCTATCAAACTGAATTAGCAAACGATCTTGCATTCGCTTGAAAGTTGGATCAAACAGGTAATGGAGCTACAAACGGAAGACGTGCATCCACCTGTGGTATCATGCGATTACCAACGGTGTGGAACACAATCCTGTCTCACTCCCATGATGCCAAAACGGTCATCATGAATTACCCAAGATCCCTCAGTACTTGAAGTACCGGAAGTGGTATGTCGGCGTGACCCCAATGCTCAACCATTCGTGAGTTGTCGCATGTAGTCAGCTCCGACAAAGCCAATGTAGTCCTTGATGAGCTCAACGTTCCTTGGGTTTCCCCTTCGGATCTGCTCCTCAAAGAACTTCAATTTCTGTGCTTGAACATCGGATACCTCTATGCCATAGTAGCGGCATGCAACGAGGATCTCCTTCGTGACATTCTTCCGCTCTGATTTGATGGCGGGGCTAATGTCGATGAATTTGTATGGAGCGGCACTTTCGTCATCTGGTTTCTGGTAGTAACTATACCGGCTCGCTCCAAAGGTCTTCCTGATCAAGCGTCTGATGAAATTTGAGATGAATGCCAGCTCCTCGATGATCTCTTCCTGGGTCTCAGATCTTCGAGCTTTTGGATCACTCATGTTACGCCGAGTGCTGCCGACCTCCCTGAGGTACTTGTGGCTAAGCCCACAGCGGATTGCAGTGATCATCATCGGGTGAATAACGTGGGCGTGGAATTCATAGATCTGCCACGCTTCTGTTGCATACGTGTCGTTGGTCCATTTGCTCATGCCTACGACCTCGGCTCTCTGAAGGCGTCTTGGAAACCCAGTATCCGGATCATTCGGTACTATTGGCCATCTATTGTATGGAGTATCATGCCGCTGTCCATCGTCGAACTTTCGCAGTACGTCTTCACGACTCTCAAAGCAATTGATGTCGAACGTTGCGTTGGCCAAGCTCTTGATCAACTTCATCAACCTCAGGTCAAATTGCTGAGTGACTGCAAAGTTGTGGTCGATGGGGATCGCAGCTTCTTGCGGCAATTCGTCAATTGCGAAGGGGAAAGGCTGTGGAAGTTCATTCCCGTATCCATCTTGAGGGACCTCCCGATATTCGGGTTCGCCTTCAGTTTCGTCCGGTCGTTCCTTCAAAATGATAGGAACTTCCTCGTCTTCCTCTCCTTCGGATTCCTCGACGTCAATGACTTCTTCGGCTGTCTTGCGTGCATTCTTGATGACTTCATCGATGTTTGCACCCGCAGCAGAAGTTGCCTCACCGGAAGAACTGGCTGGAGCATCTCTCGGAGGTGATCGTTGATTGCGGTCCCTTGTCTCCTTGGGTACCACATGCGTGAGCTTCCCATTCGCGATCAAAACCGCTACGCAGTGCGGACATATCGTCAATCGCACATCGACTTCGCCAAGACAGTTAGGGCACGGTCTTGAGTCATAGTCTTTCATTGCTCGGCGGTACACGATCTCCTCAAAGATTTCCTGCCACTCGGTGCTATCATACTCTGGGTAGACACCGCTCTCCTCGATCATGCCCAACAGCTTTGAGATTTTGGCGTCGTCCTCGGAGTAGGTATCGTCCTGAACCTCAACCGCTAAACTCTCAAGCTTTTGATAGCGTGGAGTCATGATCGGGTTTCCGTATTTGGACTCCAGAACAAGGTAGCTTCCAGGGTCGGGTTCTCTATTGAGTAACCTGATCCATTCAATCTCCTCAGGCTGTCCGGGTTCCGCATTGTCGCACTGCAACCATGCCCCTTTAACCTCATCGAAGGGAACGACGTCCTCAACCAATAGAGATCCAGTCGCTGAGATGAGAAGTCCGTACTCCTGCAGCTTCCACACCGGAATGTAGAGAACCACTGGGCGATCACTCAATGCGACCTTACGACCCAGCCAAGGTTTTCCCTTGTAGCCCTGTTCCCAGGCCCATGGCGGAAAACATGTGAAGTGGATAGAATCCCTTCCCGATGAACCGAGACCTCCTGGCACTAGCCCCCGTCGCATGATTGAAGTCAGCGCTCCAAGATTGGTAGCGTGAAATGCGGTCACCATGGATAGGGCCATGTCGTTGGTCATTCTCGATCCAATGTGGTCGATGTTGATGGTAACGTCATAACCTCCGCCGTCCGACGAGTGTGCTGAGGTTGCTCTTACGGCCACGGGAAAGCACCATCCATCGCTATGGTGTAGTCTCCCTTTGGATATTCCCATGCCCTTGAGCTCGTCAATCCATTCCTTCTCCATCGGGTCATCAGGATCATTGAGTTCATCAGGGTGAACGCGGACCGCCAACATTTGGAACCTGATCCTCTTGGTTACGCGGAAACACTCATAGTTCTGGTCGAGGTACTTCTCCAAACGCGCCTTCTTGGTCACGATGTCTATATTGCCATAGTGATAACCGTCTTCCCAAACTGCGTTATCACCTAACAGGTCTTCCCATGACACCCATGCGCCTTCGTCGCATTTGATTGGTGTGAGTCTTCCTCCTGTCCTGAACTGGCGTCCAATTCGATGCCTCAACTTCGCTCCCAATCGACGACTCAGGGCCTGGCTCGCTTGGCTGTATTCTGGTACTCGACAGTCTGGAGTCGGATACTTGTGGTTGCCGTAGTCGGAGTTCTGCGCAGCGAAAGTGACTCCGTTGATCGGTACTAGCTCAACTTTCCCGACCATTGTCATGGGGTCGATCGGCTTGTATCCCTTCTCCCTCCGTGTCGGTAGGGGATAGAATTGATGACATGCCCTTGGTTTGAGGGAACTGGAGTGCACAAATGCCTTCTCTACAAATTCGTATACCACCCTCATATCCCTAGGGCCCACTTCCGCAAGCTTCCGCCCATTGTAGGAATGTGTCCCTCCTTCGACTCCATCGGCACTTTCAATCAATGTGAACCCGTCATGGTCGAACATTGTCACGACTCTTGCTTTCAACATTTCTTTTCGTCTGAACTCGCTGTCGACCTTCCTATCTGGAGTAGGCGATGCTCTCTGTTTCTTCTTCTTAGGCTCCTCGGTTGGATGTCCGGATGGTACATCGTCGGGTGCAACCTCTCCCTTCACTCTCTTCTTCCAATCACTCAACACTGAGGTGACTGTGGGTGAAGATGAAGGGATCTTCTCGCAATTGAGAGTCGTGTGTCCCGACTTCATGCAGTGGATGCAGAACTCTGCTTGCCCGATCTTCTTCTCGAATTCGTCGATGGCTTGCAGTATTGATGTCTTCGGATCGGACATGTCAACGTCTTGCTCCTCCTTCTCCTGTTCACCTTCAGTCTCCATATCGACACCTTCGGCCTCGGGCTGGTCAGTGGCTTCTGCTCCCTGTTCTGGTTCTTTCCCAATTTCGAAGAAGTGGTCGATGTCGAATTCAGGAGGCGGCATGGTCCTCATGCGAACGAGAATCAGTGCCACGTTTGCCGCCTCATCAGAGTGCGGGTCCAATGTCCTGATCATCGATCGCTTTCGGTTCTCATACGTTGTCCTGTCGTACAGTGATGCAGTGACACGCTTGATGGATTCTTCTAATCCCGTCCTCAAAGCCTCAATGTCACCCCATCCCAAGAACAGGTGTTTGAAGAGTTGAGCAATTTCTAACATGCCCAGCAGCGCTTCCACCATATCACCTACCCGTTCCTCCGTGGGATCATCTCCGAACATCGTGCGGAATACATCGGGCTCCAATATGGTCTTGAGGTATTTGGTGTAGCACACGTTTCCAAGGTCATAGGATCCCTGGTAGTACTTGGCGCTGCCGATTATCTGCTTCTCCACATGGATACTGGGCCCTCTTCTCGTTTTGAAGAAGTTCTCCGTCATTGTCGATGACAACCTGATCCCCCCGAAGAACGAGATCTCCTTCTGGAAACCTGGGTTCCCGTTAAAGATGATCATCGCTTCGTGTAAGAACTTCATCATGTCTACGTGCGGGTTCATCTCGGAGATCATGACGGTGGGAGAAGATACCGTTTGCCCCATGCCGAAGTTGTGAAGCAATCGAGCACATGCATGAAATCGCTTCTGGACGTAGTCTTCTGCGGACATCCCACGGCATCTATTTGCTGCTCCGTTGATGCATTCTGCATAGCAATCGTCTTTCAAATCGGAGTCTATGGGATTGCAGACCAAACAGTAATCGCAGCAAATCTCCTCACCCTCCTTGAAGTCATCAATGACGTACCATCTTTGAGTCCTCGAGTATATTGGTTCTGGCTGAAGGACTCCCCAGTACTCATCCATCCATGGCATCTTATTCTCCCTCCTTACCTTCTCCCTCTTCCTCCGCTCAGACTCGTTCTCACCTGAAGCTCCCGCAGCGGACTGATATGCATGGCTTCCTCTTACGGAGTCTCCGAACAAGTACTGATACAACCTCTCTTTGTCCTGCAACACGTGTTCCAAGTTGGGATCATGGAGGTTATTCGCTTCGGTCAAGGGATCCGGTGCCATAAAACAAGAAGCGAGCATCTTCTCTCTGAACAAATACTTTTCCATGACAGCGTGGACCAAAGAGGTTCCAGACTTCATAGAGTATGGGTGACCGCCTCCGGCGACCGAAATGGCTCGCCAGAATCTGTCCGACGTCGTGGACATCATGCCATTCAGCGACAGCTCGTCCTTGATCATGTTGGCG